CGGGGCACGGTGGCTCAGGCCTCAGGCCTGCAATCAGCACTTTGGAGGCCGAGACAGGCGGATCACTTGAGGTCAGGAGTCAGTCTAAATATTCCGCAGAACCAACACAGGACGGGAGGGCTTCTAAACCTAGGGCCCTGCACCACTTCACACAAAGTTTAAAGATGGTTCACCCCATTCCCCACCGCCCAGAAGTCACTCTCAACTACTGCAGAAGGGCTTGAACCTACGAACTCTGCTCAGGCTGCTCAATAGGTCCCATATAGGGAACACCCGATTCTCCTGGCCAAAAACTTTTCCCCTTCACACCGCACTTCCAGTTCCAAGGAACCCCATCTCTTGATTTCCCCACCTGGGAAACCCGGCAGGCGATAGCGCCAAAGTGCAGCTGAGGTCGTGAACTGTAAATGGAGATCCCTAGGGTCCGGAGCTGCCCAAAAGAGTGCAAGAGGCTCCCACTCCCCGCCAGAAGAAGGGGTCCCTACCCGGGGGCAGGGACCAGACGGTTCTGGCTGAGGCGGAGGAGACGGTGGGAACCCCAGCCCAGCCCCACCATCCAGGCCTGGGATTCACGGGGCTGAATTCTGAGGGTCGCACGCTCCACAGTAGCGGCCGCTGTTTCGTGGCGCCCTTTCTCCGCCTGGCGCCTGGCAACCGCCTTTGTGACCCAGGACCGCGGGGGAGCCCGAGCCGAGGCGCCCTGCTGGGAGGCGTCAGGGCCACACTCCCCCAACCCACCTCATTGGAATGCCTTGTCCAGGACTCGGGCTTCAAGAGAGCTGGTTTGAATCCTGTCCCCTCCATTGTCCTCCTCCCCACCGCGCCACACCTGTGTGCCTTTGATCAAGCCACAGAGAACAGGCGACCCCTACTTCAAAGGCTTTGGTCAGGAGTCTGCATAAAAGTCCCAGGGCCTGTAGTTAGTGTTAAAAATTAGTCCCAATTCATCACACTCTGCTTAGTGGGTACTCAGGCAGAGTGACCCAGAGCCCTACCAGGTTTTGTTGCTCTATTTGAATGATCCCAGTGCAAGGAAAGAGAATTAATAAATGTTCACCTGTCAAGAGCAGGAGAAAATGCACGTCTTCCCTTGATTTTCAGACAGAACACCTTTCTCAGCCTTCTATTTAACCTCAGAGCACCTGTAATCCCAGCTATCTGGGTGGCTGAGACGGATAGACTGCTTGAGCCCAGGAGTTCAAGACCAGTCTGGGCAACATAGCAAGGCGCCTGGCTCAAAAAGAAAATAAATAATCTCGAAAGAATGATTTTGTCTCATTCTTACAATGCTGAAATACTGACACTTTTGCTGTATTAGCGAAGGAGTGATTTGACAACTTTGTAATCATCACTTAAAATAATAACCCTGAGGCCGGGCGCGGTGGCTCAAGCCTGTAATCCCAGCACTTTGGGAGGCCGAGGCGGGTGGATCACAAGGTCAAGAGATCGAGACCATCCTGGTCAATATGGTGAAACCCCGTCTCTACCAAAAATACAAAAAATTAGCTGGGCATGGTGGTGCGTGCCTGTAATCCCAGCTACTCAGGAGGCTGAGGCAGGAGAATTGCCTGAACCCAGGAGGCGGAGGTTGCGGTGAGCCGAGATC